CGTTTGACACCGTCTGCCATTCCACGCTACTAGAAGATATAGAGGCCTCCTCTCTCCCACAGAGGCTCAAACGGTGGTCGGCAAATTATCTGAGTGGTCGACATTCGTCGGTAATGTTTAGAGACAAAACCAGTAAACAGCGAAAAATAAAACAGGGGGTTCCTCAGGGTGGTGTCCTTTCCCCGCTACTGTTTAACTTTTACATATCAAAGCTCCCTCAACCACCAGAGGGAGCCTCGATTGTCTCTTATGCCGACGATTGCTCGATCATGGCGACTGGGAATGGAATTGATGACCTGTGTTCGAAAGTAAACGGGTATCTCTCCGAACTTACTCGCTTCTTCACTGCAAAGTGTCTAGCCCTCTCCCCTACGAAATCCTCCGCGACCCTGTTCACAACCTGGACGAAGGAGGTCAGGCTACCGCTGGGGATTCACGTCGATGACACACCAATTCCGACGGTGAATAACCCCAAAATACTCGGAGTAACATTCGACAGCCTGCTCTCCTTCTCTGCGCACTCAACCGCTATTGTCAATAAAGTACAGAGCCGCAACAAGGTCCTCAAGTCGCTAGCCGGCAGTACTTGGGGCAAAGACAAAGAAACGTTGCTGGCAACATACAAGGCAATAGGCCGGCCGGTTTTGAACTACGCAGCGCCAGTGTGGTCGCCAGGGACTAGTAGGAAGCAGTGGACGAAGCTACAGACTGTACAGAACACCGCACTCAGGACAGCGACAGGATGCCTCCTGATGTCGCCTGAACACCATCTACACGGCGAGGCGCAAATGCTCCCCGTAAAGGAGCACAATATAATGCTCTGCAAGCACAGAAGTGGCCACCCAAGCAGACAGCTGCTTGCATAGGAGCCCGCGCCTAGGCGCGTCTGGAGGCATCTATATGAACTGACAGACGAAGTCCAGAGGTTCATCAAGCAACCTCTGGACCCGATAGCTTACCGACAGGCCCTGAACGGCATTCACAGGGACTCAGTCTCGAGTTATGTAGACTCTAGACCTGTGAATGCCGTTCTAGGCATACCACCCCCGGACATAGACGAGACGGAGCTTCATCTGTCTCGGGAGACTCGCACAACACTTGCACAACTTCGCTCCGGCTACTGCAGCAGGTTGAACTCCTACCTGAGTAGGTTGAATGAGGATGTGCCGAATGAGTGTCCGGCATGCGGAGAGATCCCACATGACTCGAAACATCTCTTCGCATGCCCGGAAAACCCGACAACCCTAACGGCCTTGTCCCTGTGGACAAACCCCATAGAAGCTGCCCGCTTCCTAGGGTTGCCGTTAGTGGAACTTGACGACAACGACTGAGATACCAACCGTCCTGGGCGGGGTTGTTGTAGCCGCTACAACAACAACAATAAATTAGCTTTAATATTTACTGATTTATCGAAGATTTCGTATTTCTCCAAATTACCGTTATATAGGATGTGGGCGTGGTTATTGTCCGATTTTAAAAATTTTCGGCCATTTGGTGTCCTGTACCAAGGCCAATAACAGTGCCAAGTTTGGAAGAAATCGGTGCGGCGGTTGCCAAGATATACACATGTAACCATAAGTGGGCGTGGCTACGCCCATTTTTTCAAAAATTTATAATAGTCTCAATTTTCGTCTAAAAATTATTGTAAATATCAATTTTGAGTGAATAATCTTCAGTAGTTACTAAAATATCGCAGTTTTCGTATTTCTGAAAATTAGTGTTATATGGGAGGTAGGCGTGGTTATTGTCCGATTTTTCCCATTTTCAATACCATCCGTCCTACGTCCGAAAGAAGTACACGTACCAAGTTTCGTTAAGATATATTAATTTTTACTCGAGTTATCGTGTGCACGGACGGACGGACAGACAGTCACCGCTTAATCGATTTCTCTTTTCATCCTGATCATTTATGTATACATTTGTCTATATCTATCTCGAAGCGTTTTGCCTGTTACAAACAACCGTTATGTGAAAAAAGTTATAATACCCTTGTGCACAAGTGCGCTTGGGTATAAAAATCGGGGTCACCAATTGTTGCTTACTAAGTGACTAGTAAAAACTTATATTTTTAAAAAAATTAATTTTGTTGCGTTCCAAACAAGGAAAAAAATGTGAATGAAAGTTTTTCAAAAATTGACAAATTAAAAAACTTTCACAAAAGTATTCTTAGATTAAAAATTGTAAAACAAGTGGAGGTCCCACAATAATAATAGGCACGAAACTATGTATTTGTGACAAAAATTATCCACATAAGATGAAAACTACTGCAGTTTCATCTTAGACAAGTAAGTAAGACAGTTCGCGTACGGTTCGGTTATTTGTACAAGGGTTTATTTAGGAAGGAGTACGCCTAACACGAGTTTCATTTTTCTTTGTGAAAATGCTAATTTTACCCCATTTTGAAATGGGCCCTCCGCTCCCCACCAAAAAATCATTGTACAAATAACAGAACATTCCCCACGCACAACAGTAAATCCTCTGAGGTATTGTTTGATTGCTATCAATGTGGGA